GAGTCTTGCTTTGGCGGTTTAGAGAACTCATTTTCTGAGTAGCAATTTACAGTTGATTTGTGGACACTTAAGAAAGGCATAGAGGGTCTGTCTTATCCTAAAGTTGTGCAGCCTGAGGCCTGTCTGTCCTAATCTGCAGATTGAGGTTCTGATAGCTCTGTGTGTGTCTGATTGCTCTCGGTTTCCCTGAGGGGAACTGCCCACCCCCAAGATACGTCCTCCCGCTCTTGATTGGCTAGTTTTTTTTTCCCTCCGCCGCTGTTCAAGCACCCTATTTTGATCATAACAATTGACTGAGAAGAAGAAAAAAAAAGAAGGTAACCACAAGGCAAAAACTGGTAGCTGTTCCTTTTTTCCTCAAGTAAACCTGTGAAATTGAAGTGTGTGCGTTAATGATCTGCTATTTTTAAAGCAAATGCAAGAATTTGAACTTCTCCCAGCTCTCTGCTGTACTGTGTTCTTGTGAGATGTGAAATGTGCAAATGTAGCTGAAGCCTTAACAAGCACTGAGAGCAGCTCTATAGGACTGTTTTGGTTTGATTCACACTATCAAATATATTTAATGTAAAAATAAAGAAATAAAAACAGTCAATAACTTTAAAACTTCTCCAGAGATGTATGATATTTATTCATCAAAAGGTCGCAAATGTATGCAGTAATACTGCCAGCTGCACATTGAAAAACAGATAATTCTGTCAATAACAGCATATTGTTTCAGCTTTAGAGTGATGAAAAAATATATATGTATATACATATATATGTATATTTGTGTGTGTGTGTGTGTGTGTGTATATATACAGAGGATACGGAAAGTATTCAGACCCCCTTAAATTTTTCACTCTTTGTTATATTGCAGCCATTTGCTAAAATCATTTAAGTTCATTTTTTTCCTCAATGTACACACAGCACCCCATATTGACAGAAAAACACAGAATTGTTGACATTTTTGCAGATTTATTAAAAAAGAAAAACTGAAATATCACATGGTCCTAAGTATTCAGACCCTTTGCTCAGTATTTAGTAGAAGCACCCTTTTGATCTAATACAGCCACGAGTCTTTTTGGGAAAGATGCAACAAGTTTTTCACACCTGGATTTGGGGATCCTCTGCCATTCCTCCTTGCAGATCCTCTCCAGTTCTGTCAGGTTGGATGGTAAACGTTGGTGGACAGCCATTTTTAGGTCCCTCTCCAGAGATGTGCAATAGGGTTTATGGCGGGGCTCTGGCTGGGCCATTCAAGAACAGTCACAGAGTTGTTGTGAAGCCACTCCTTCGTTATTTTAGCTGTGTGTCCTTAGGGTCATTGTCTTGTTTGAAAGGTAAACCTTCGGCCCAGTCTGAGGTCCTGAGCACTCTGGATAGCAATTGGCTGCAATATAACAAAGAGTGAAAAATTTAAGGGGGTCTGAATACTTTCCGTACCCACTGTATATATATATATATATATATATATATATATATATAACACTACTGAATATGCGAAAGAAAATATTGAGAAAGAATATACTGTATATACACTTTATATTTATGATATATAAATCTATCTACTGTATATATCTATCTAGGTTAAACATTCGGAAACATTCGGAATAATTAAATTTTTTACGATTGTTTTTGAAAGACATACATGCTGATTTTTCAGCAGCAAATACTCCAGTTTTCACTGCCATAAGATCCTTCAGAAATCATTCCAATATGCAATATATTATATATAAGACCAACCACTGAATGATCTACAGAGTTCAGTAGCTCTGAATGGTGTCAAGGTGCACCAGTCACATAATGAATTCCGCACAATGCTGACCTGTATATAGAAAAGTGGCACAAAAGGCACCATTACAAGCACGTCTGGAGATTGTCAAAAAACATAATAGAGACTCCATTGCAAAGTGCAAAAAGATTTCCTGGTTAGATCACACCAAGATTCCAGCTAAAATTCAACACGATGCATGTGGTGCTAATATAACACTGCCCACACCTCCAAAAAGCACCATACCTTCAGAGAAGTGTGCTGCTGGTGGTGCATCATGCTGCAAGACTGATTTTTACCAGCAGGACTGGGCATCGTGTTAAAATAAAGAGAACAATAGATGGTGCAAAATGCAGAAAAATACGGATACATATTTCAGCCTGCTAAAACTCATGAGAGCGTTTTTCTGCAGGATAAAAAAAAGGCAAAAATTTACTTTGGAGGGGCTAAAGAACAAAAAAAATCTAATTTGAAATGGGCCAGTCAAAGCCCCAATCTCACTCCGGTTGAGAATCTGTCACGCTACTTGAAAATTGCAGAGCACAAGCATCATCCAACCAATTTGAACAAGCAAATCTGGCTGTAAGAAAGGCTGAAATAGTGCTTGAACTGTGTGCGCAGCTGTCAACTGCTGAAAATGTATCTTAAACGTGCTTTTTATAAAATATTAAACAGCAAAGTTCCTTCAAAGTTGTTTTTTTACATTAAACAATGTTGTAATTTATACTGTATGCTGAAGACAAAGCACTGTATATAGATAGAAAGCGACCAAGAGTAAGAGCAACACAAAGGAGAGGTTTTTATGTATGTGTATATATGACTGTCATCCCAAGGTCAGTTCAAAGCAAATAAAAGGCACACTCAGCAATGTGAAGATATGTGTATGGGACTACAGCATACTACATTAAACATACACAAGCCACAGAGTCAACACGCAACCTAGGGCTCAGCTTTAGAGGACAAACCCCCATGAATGTCAATATACGACTTGAAAACAGCAGTCTACACCAGACAGCTCTGCATTTGTCCAGCGCTGGATGTGCCTGATTGTGAATACAGATCTAAGACGTGCTCTTTAAAATTATCGATCAGAACACGATTAGAAGAGCCCTTAAAGGCTTTGCCTTGCATATCTCTCTTATTATTATTTTTTTATTATAACCTCTTTTTAAATGTTATTACGTGGGTTTCAAACTCATCCTGAATCATGGATGTTTTCATAACATTTGCGAATTCTTCGTTAGCCAGTTTAAAGCAATTTAAATTTGGACACTGCTATGGTTCATGGCTGACATAGCCAAAGCCCATAGAGTGCAGCAGTCAGGTTCTAGAAGTAAAAATCCCGTATATAGTGGAATTGATTTAGAGCCATTCCTTGCATAATTATCCTGGCTGTTTTAATGAGTTTTCCACTGGCTTAAAGTGGGAATTGGATTTTTCTTGGAGCAATCTTGTTAAATGCATAAAATCGTATATTTAATTTAGAGATTAAATCGATGGCGAAGTGAGTGTCGTTGGCAGCGCTCGTGCTGTTGTGGACATACAACGAGCGTCACTGAGGAGACGGAGGCAATATATTAACACGCACACTAACATCTCGTTACTGTAATGAAAGCTGTAAATTCAAAGCATGAGCTTTATAAGTGTTTCATGGGAACCGTATAAGCAAGAATCAGGTATTCTGTTGTGTTAGGGAGACTTTATTAATGTTGTTAATTTTCTAAATGGACTGCAATTTTTCACGGAAAGCCTGAAGCCGTCATATTTTAGTCAAACAAGAACGGACATTTCCAATCAATATTGCTGAGCTCTCTCTCTCTGACATTTGTGTCTGTCAAACTGATTTAAAATCTGTGAGGGCAGCGAGTTGAAAAGCTGAGGTTGTTTGATTCACCGCTGCAAACACCTCGCAAGTGCTGTGTGAAGACGACGTGCTGGTAGCTGTGCTCTTTCAGGTCCAAGTTCAGCTGAGTCCAGGCACCTTAAAAGATCTCAAGAAATCAAAACGAGTGATGTGAGTTTGCTATGAGGTTGCCTAAATGATAACAAAATTCACATTTAAAGTTAGCGTATGTCCAAGTTGCATCTTTATTAGTATGAATTAGTTAGGTTCTCATAGATGTATCTCTCATGTAAGGCAAGTATGTTTACTGCAACATGAGTATGTTTTGAGGATTATTATTCTCTGACACCTGTGTTTCTTCAAAAAATGCTGTAGGCTACATATTCTGACAGTACGCAAATTTGGACACTGCTATGGTTCATGGCTGACATAGCCAAAGCCCATAGAGTGCAGCAGTCAGGTTCTAGAAGTAAAAATCCCGTATATAGTGGAATTGATTTAGAAAGTTAACTTATAAATCGTTAAAGACAAACATAATGTGAGCTACAAGATGGTTAACTGATTGTATATTATTTTGTTCAAGCCACATTTGCTTTCTGATAGCAGCTTCCCTCTAATGATCACAGACAGTATTCTCAGTCTTTATTACCATTAATCAGATAAACAAACAAAATGACAAGTTATCACTTGCGTTGAAAGCCAAATCCATTATCAACGGCATAAAATGATCACTTTATAATCATCCCGACTGGACAAAAGACAAAATATCCTATTGAACTCAAATTGAATTTATATATCCGACTGTGACAGACACAACAACAGTTGATACTGAGCATGTGAACAAAGTGACAAATTGAAATCGTGTATTGTTTGGACACTGAGATTCAATCTCCAAACACTTATGCCATCTGAAAAACAGTTTACAGCATCTATCAGAGTGCTTGAATTTGTTGGGGAAGAAATCAAAATGGAACATGTTTCATGACTCAAATATCACAGCTATCTCACACTGCGATAGCGCAGGCCAGGCTGCAACAGGCGTTCGTGGAAAAACTGCCATCTTAACACGTCAAGCTGTGTACGAGTCTGACAGAGACTAGGCTCAGTTTAAACACGCTCATTGCAGGGATCTAACTAGCCCAGGCAAGACAATTTATAGGCTAAGCTTCACATCCGACCGTGTCGTAGCACACCCGCTCTTAGACGCGCAATCGTATTTCTGGATGTATGCTTGCATTCACTAACTGAATCATCAATCTCCTCTCTTGGAGGCTAATTTAGCCGAGGCCTTTTAAATGCTCTGACAAGCCTTGTGTCATTCATCAAACTCAAGGCTCTATTGGCTCTCTCGGCTAGCTTTGATTACACATCATGTCTGTGTGCAAACCACCCTGTTCCACAAACAAAAGCAGCCACTTTAGCAGTAAGATCTTCACATCAAAATATGCACCACCGTCTGGCTGTCCGGATGAATGAAAGGAGTCATGAGGAAATGGCCTCAACATATGCTGCAATTCATGTGCTTTATTACAAAAATCTGTACAAAATGTCTTCCCAGCTTTAGGATTGAGCATGTGTTACTGTCATTTCATATCGATACAATTCAAAATCATGATAATAACGTGTCGGACAACAGCTAAACATTGAATATACTGTAGTAGTAGTAAGGTCTGTGTTGTCCGTATGTTATACACCATTTCACACGTCGCCAGATATTATTTAGGATAATGTCTTTGCATTCTTTTTTCCCTTACAGTTTGCCACTCAGACTCATATTGACAACAGGCCTGCTTTAAAACAAACAGCTCTCAAGATATTCAGCAAGAACCACTGCAGAGAAAAAAAAACTGTACACGGGACAGCATAGAACACTACAAAAACATTTTGCCGTTTTGAGTTTCTCCACTGAGACTGAGGTTTTCAAAGAATGGAATCGGCTTAATACAAAAGACTCCCCTTCAAACGCTCGCTGTCATAAGGGTTCTCTCTACAAACTTACAAAATAACATCTCAAAATAACTCAGGTTGACAGCCTCAACTGAAAGGCAAGTACTATACATTTTCAATGATTAAATCCACTCCGGCCTATCCTGCTCGATACATCAAAATCTATTCACTATGAGTTTGACTTGTATTTTGGTCTGCGGAACTGCGGGATACTTCAGAAGTTGTGATAGCGATGTGCCTCGACCCACATTTTGGGGAAGAACTAAGGCCTGATAACAGACGTGAAGCTATGCATAAAGGATTTTTTACAAAGCAACAGTTGCAGTTCCTCGCAAGGCAATGCGGAAAAGATATCGGTGTACTCGTTTGCTGAATTTAGATTGACTTTTTTTCCATAGAAACATCTGATAGAACAGAAACATTGATTTTTCGAGCATCACTACAGCATGGCTAGCTGGATGGCACTGTTCTCATTTATAACCATGGGTAGAGCACTTCAAATGTCTCTTTGAAACAATTGGTATTCCTGGACCAGCTCACGTGGCCCTGCCATCCACTGTCCATTATTCTCTTGGGCCTGAAGATCGCTCTTTGGGCGCTTGCAACCACACCCCAAGTCCAGACTTGGCAACTAACTGCAATTTAAATAGAAGTGCTTCAGACTCAAATCTCCACCGTCTATTCGTTATCAAAACCGCTGCTCTCTGCAGATATAACTTCCCCCTGCGCATTGAATGTTCCCATTTTTTTGCTCCCCTCTTCTGTCAAGCATCAATGAGTCAGTGGTATTCTCTTGATCATTGTTCATTTCCATTATGCCCTTGATTGAGCAGACCTTGGCAGGAATTTTAATCCCGGCTAGGAGGAGAATATATTGCTGCTGTCGCCGTGACCATACAGGTCGGCTAGCTTCCTGAAGCGAGGTCCCCAGTCGCTCAGATAGTCATAGTTCTGCTCCGAGTCTGTGCTCAGGGAATCCAGGGAGCTGAGGGATTCGGCCACCGAGCCGCTTCCCTCAAAAGCGTATGTCTGCAGGGAGTCGTAGGGAGGCGCGGAAGGATCTACGTCGGCGTCTTTCAGGCGGTCCCATATAAACTCCCGGAAGATCCCGTTGTCTGGGGTGATTTTGTAAGGGGGAGGGCGGGAGCAATAAAGGGTGGGCACCTCCGGGGTGACGTCACGGCGGGCTTTGCTGTCTCTCACTGCATTGAGGTTTCGCAATGCCACCATGTCAAAGGCCTCTGTGTCTTCCTCACCTCCGCCTTCGTCGTCGTAGCGCACAATGTTCTCCCGCACATCCCGGTCTTCGTCCAAGATCAGAGGTTCCTTCTTCCTCCTCCTCATTGTCACAATCAGCAGCACCAGCACTGCAAACCAAAGACAAAAGAATCACACGTTGTTAGTATAAGCAAACCAGAGCTTTTATCAGTGACATGACATATTAGCATCACAGAGGCAAGACACAATGTATACACTATTGTTCAAAAAATTTTTGTTTGAGACTTTTTTTTTTTTTTTGTTAAAGAAAGAAAATTAATACTTTTAATAAGAAAGGATGGATTAAATCGATCAATAGTGAAGACATTTATAGTGTTAGGAAAGATTCAATTTATAAAAAATGAATTTAATTACTGTTTATTTTAATTAAAAAAAATAAAATAAAATACAGCCTTTTCTGAGCAGAAAGTGTGTGGGGGGGGAGGGAATCTTACCGACCCCAAACATTTATAACGGCAACTTTGTCAAGAAACATTTTTTTAAACCATATAATGAAATAATAATACATATTATTTACTGTATACTCTTTTTATAATAGTATATATAGTAAAATAGTGTGTGTGTGTGAATGTGTGTGTGTGTGTGTAAATATTATATGCTTTATAATACTGTAACATACTCTTATGTATTATAATAATATGCATGTTGTTTACTGCCTATAGCATATTTACTAATAGTTTAAATAATTTGTATTTATTATTACTAGTTATTTTATATAGGCATTGTAACTTTCAGATTTTTTTGAAGTTGTTAATAAAACAAAGACTGTTTTATTGGTCTTACAAAAATAGTATTTTACAAGAAAATACTATTTCAATTTTGCTTCAAAATGTCATGTTTAATTCAGTGTGTTACTTGCTAGCTTTTTGTAATTGTTTGTGAAATTTATTTACTATTTCTGAGTGAAAATTGTTAAATTTTAAATTTACTTCATTTATATTAAATGTATATATTTATTTATTTATTTATTGTTTTCTTTTTAATAATAGAGATAGTAAGAGTGGATACTGGAGATATGAGGAGAGTTGTGATTCTCGGGTCACTGAAAAAAAGAAGAAGAAGAATTCAAGGCCTCTTCTCTGATATTGCATTTATTCCTAGTTCTGTTGGTTTCCACCAGACTATTGGGGAGCAAATAGCTGCACAGTGCTGTTTACACCTCGTGCATATAGTCATTACGATTTAACAATTTGCTAACAATGCCAACAAGAAACCCCTTTTATATGGGAGTAGAGTGTTTAATAAATTGCTTCATTGCAGATTCATGTCCTTGCCACAGTAAACAACAATTCCATGAAATATCAGGGACCAGGAAAGGTTAAGTGGCACCAAAGCTTTAAAACACACACACACACACACACACACACACACACACACACACACACACACACACACATCTCAAGCAGTCCATTTACCCTCCATTCAAGATAAGCGAAGGCATAAAAGGTGTAGAATCAGTTAGCACTCGACCATGACTGTATCTCAACAATATTTATGACACCAGACCAAAATATTACTTTCTCATTGTTTTCCCACTCTATAGACCAATTCTGCCCCAAGGCCTGACATTTTAAGCTACAACATGAAAGATAAGCTGAATTATCTCTACAGTTCAATTAGGGCAGATCTGGTACATTAGTTTTATCAATAAGTTCATCAGATTGGGTAGTAATGATTTTAATAACGCTGCTGACAAACCCCAAGCAGGAGGTGTTTCATCTTGGGAGGTGCTCCTGGGAGCAGGAGGTGTTAAAGGAGTAACAGTCTGATCTAATCTCATCCTGCATATTTGTTTACAATGGTTATTAACCATACAGACCCTTATCTGCGCACTAAAACACATGCATGGCTGAGAATTAAACGCATGCTAGCACTTTTGTCTTCTCACTCTTTGCTCTGTCATGTGTGAACATAAGCAAATAGACAGAGATGAACACATAGATGCACGAAGAGCGAGATTTAGAGCAGGATGTGTGCTGTAAATATGGGGCTTTAACGGCCACTTGCTTCCTACCCACTCATACACAAGCTGCTTATTCGGAAAAGGCCAGCATTAAATCCTTTTAATGAGTGCGGCATATGCCTACTGTATGTGTAAAATAAGACTGGATTATATGTCAGTCAGAAAATATCACCCTGCCCTGAAAGCACAGACCCCGTATACAAGCACATCAAAACTATCAACAAGAGGCAAGGCTGCACCATCGCACAAAAGGCATGTGTCTCTGCGATTCAAACCGGAGATCAAATGCAGGGAGAAAGATGGCGTGAAAGAGACTGAGAAATTCTGTCAATACAAAAAGGGAAAAGGGAAAGCACATAGTGTGAAATAACTAACATTAGACACATGCACAAAAAAAGGGAAATAAATCCATTTTTTGTGGTGTGTGGAATGCAAAAACCAATCCTCCGTGTTGCCGCTCTCAGACCCATGAATGCAAAGGAACTTACAGTACAGCCACAACACAGTCCTCCCACGGGAGTCTATATCTCTCTCAATGTAGATAGTGCATATGTGTATTCGGCTGCCAGTACCAAGCTCGAGGGGGAGGGAAGGGAGCAGAAAAAGTAGGGAGAGAGGAAAAGGAGGTGTAAGTGGGAGCAGCCTGAAGTGAGAGAGAGAAAGATAGAGTGGAGGGAAAAGGGAGGCAAACGTCTAATGATCCATCCTTCAGGCCTGCCACAGCGAGTGTGAAATATGGTGCCAAAGTCTCATACTTCATCCTCAGGCCTAGTGTCGTTTTGCAGGGGCAGACAAGCTGGGCGAGTGGGATGGCGAGGCAACGGCTGCACGTGTACAGTCATAATCAAGGTACACATACACACGGGGAATGATATAAACAATAGTAAAGCCAATATCGACCTTAAGTTCAAGAGCAACAGTCTTACACTGGGGTTAATGGTGAAAACAAAAACTACTATAAAACTGAAGATAAAGGAATAGAAAAATTACAAATCTGTCATTGTTTACTCAACCACTTGTCTTTCTGAAAACCTGTTTTTTTTCTCCTGTGGAACACAAAAGGATATTTAAAGGGTTAGTTCACCCAAAAATGTAAATTCTGTCATTAATTACCCCCCCTCCTGTCGTTTCAAACCTGTAAAACCTTCGTTCATCTTCGGAACACAAATTAAGATATTTTTGATGGAATCTGAGAGCTGTCTGACCCTGCATAGACAGCAATACAACTGAAATGTTCCCAATTCCAGAAACGTAGCAAGGAGATCTGTAAAATAGTCCATGTGACATCAGGGGTTCAACCGTAATTTTACAAAGCTACGAGAATACTTTTTGTGCGCGAAAGAAAAAAAAAACGACTTTATTCAACAATTCGTCTCCCCCGCGTCCCCCTGTAGCACCATTTTGGAGAGTATCCTCTGGACGTAAACAACGTATGCTGTTCTGTGTCAGCTGCGTCATGCCGGATCTGTTTCCTACGATGTTGTGATTTGATCTGAACGGAAACAGTGTATCCGTGTGACGCAGCTGACACAGAACAGCATAATAAATAAATACATTTCAGTCTTTTCCTCACTCAAAGCTATTGTATAGGAAGTGTACAGAAAAATTAGTCACTTTAAATAATTTTATAGTGCTTTTTGAAGCTTGTCAGCCTTTAACTAAAGTAAAATCGCATGAATTTGAAAAGTTCTTCATAGAACTATAAATGCCAATAAAGAACCTTCATATTTAAGAGTGTATGCTGTATTAAATACAACAATTCTGTACGGTATGACAATAGTAAAGGAGACAATCTTGAAAACATGGAACAAAGAGTTTGTACCGAAGTTTGCGACATGGCTATCGGAGTTCAGTTGTGTTGTACATATGGAGTAAATTAGGTATGACATTGCTGGGATTTTTCTGGATCTGGGAATCTTTTCTTAGAAATCTTGAATGTGATCATTGGTTTCAGTGAAACAGCTCTCAGGTTGCTTTGGATGTGATTTCTAGGGTGTAACATAGAATTTTTTTTTTTTTAATGATGTGCAATAATATATAAATTTTTCATTACTGGGTTATCTAATATAATCTACTTCGTACTTACATTTTGTACCATATTTTATATATTTTTTGATATATTCTTTGTGTCTGTATTATTGTTTGATTGTTTGCGTGGTAAAATGTTAAATGCTTTAAATAAAATATTCAAAAACTAATAAATAAAAAGAGCAGCATTATGCAAAAATATCTTATGGGTGTCAAACGGGTTCGGAACAACATGACGGTGAGTAAATCATGACAACTGGCATTTTTGGGTGAGCTATCCATTAATGATGTACAGATACATATCCTAAATTTATACAGTTGTGTTTTTAATATTTTCTAGGACAAAAACAAAGCATTTTTGCAACATGAAAACAGTTAATTTCTCTTTTAAACTCAAAGCAACTCAGTTTAAAGCAAAAACTTCATATTTTGCTGAAATCTAATTCAGTGCGAAGCCTTGTTTTATTCAAAACAACCTTATTTACTCCTAAAAGGCACATATTAGTACCTATGTACCCTCAGGGCACTACTATGAACTTTTTAGGGTAAATAAGGTACGAAGAAGTCTATTTGAGTGTACTGCTCCAGTGACGAGCTGTAGTATCCCTAAAGGGAATTATTTTTTTCTGATGAAAGGTTTGAGTTTAAGCCACTGTTATGTGATTACAAGGAGTTATATGGATCTAATGCAGTCTTAAGTCCTAACTGTTACAAACTGCTCTCACTTTAAGGCTTGATTTACCCTCTCTGCAGTTTTGACACAAGATGGATGTTCAACGGGAGCAGCAGATCAATTTAACATTATCCTCAATTTGCAGTAATTGGATTGAGAAAACAATCCGTCATCCAGAATCAATTAAACAACAAATGAGATATTTTGTGGGGGCCTCGTTCTCATCGACCTTTTAAAAATGAGGCAGCGACTACTGGATTATGCTCTGCCCTTCATTCTCTCTTTCGCTCCCTCCCTCGCTTTCTCTCGCTCCCATGCATTCCCTTCACATATCTCAACTACTGCCAATAGCCCAGGGCAGTGAAGACTAATCAAGATATACTGGCGATATGCGGCTCTATCTGGCTGTTGACATTTATGCCGCTGCCCAGCACAAGGTGTTTGTGCTTTATGACACCTGTCTGTCCCTGTGTTTTCACAGTGGCGACATTATCTGCAAAATAAAATATGATTTATTCTGGGTGATATAAGAGCACACTACATCGCCTTAAGGGCCCTCATAAGTATTACTGACTGCCGTCCACTGGCACTGTCAGAGGCCATAGGGGAAGTGGGCCTGGAAGACAAGATGCCCTGCAATCGGTCGCGCAGAGATGGAAAAAGTGATGTCACTGTTGCGAGAGTGACCCATGGACATGAATGTATCAGAGTGCCTCGGGCTTACCTGACCTCTCTGTGTTCCTCCACCTAAGACTGAAATAATGAGCACAAGGTTTCCCTCAGAACAACTAGAGTGACGCAGCGGCTGTCATTATGTGATATGCGCTCCTGAAATCCTTTAGATTACTTTATGCAAACACTGATAAATAGCAATGTGTTTACCACAGCAGTTTGATCGGATCCCTCCTTATGAACTCCATTTTCATCCTATCAAATATTTTATGAACCATTATCAATGTTTGGGCTTGACAGCGCGACTTAGATGTTGTAATAACACTACATAGGCAAGCAAACAATAGAGAGTTCATCTGAAAATCTGTCATCATTTACTTGCCCCATGTTATTCTAAATGTATATTTTTTACCCCATGGAATTCTAGAAGAACTATTTATAGCAGAGCAAGAAAGGGATCTTTTCCTTTTAATGGAAGTGAATGGTGACCAACTGTCATGGTAGAATTTTCAGTGGATAATGACTATGTTCTCACACAAAGCGCATCATGTGACTTCAGAAGCCTTTGAATATATAGTGAATAAGTCATGGAATACTTTTATGATGATTTGTGTGCTGTTTGGAACTTGATGTCCTCTAGTCACCATCCACTTTCAGTGAACAGATTTTTTTCTTTTTAAGTGAACAAAACATTTTTTTTCCTTAGTGTGAAGAACATTTTAATTCTAAAGAACTTCTAAAGATTCTAAAGGACCTTTCTCCACTATAAAGAGTCTTTTGTTCCATGGAAAGGTTCCATGTACATTAAAGGTTCTTCATTGAACCACTGACGCCAACTATAAGAACCTTTATTTTTAAAAGTGTATATGGAAATGAGCAGGATGAACACACTTTTAAACATCTTTTATGTTCAACGAAAGAAAGATTAAAAAAATAGTCATACGAGGTGAAATAACATGAAGCTGAGTAAATAATGACAGTACTTTCATTTCTGGGCGAACAATTCCTTTAATGGAGAAAGTCGTTTGTATGTTGTTAGATAAAAAAAAGATAAAAGACTCAAAGCTGACATTCATTCATTCCCTGGCATGGTTTTAGTTGTGCGCTGCTTTGATAGCTAAAAGGCAACAGCAGGCAAAAAGCTTGTTGATTCATTACTTCGAAAAAAGATAAAAGCAGAAAAAGAAGATTCTTTTCCCTCTGCAGCTCTCCTCCTCTGAAGCCATCCTCCCTTCAACCATGAGTGAGCAGTCTCGAGCCCCTGGGGCCGGACTCTCTTTGCCAAAAATAACTGCATTGCTCAGATCAGGCAGCGCAGTGGTCTAATCCAACTCGTGTAGTTTGGGAGGAGACGGGGGGTAGGGGTGTCGGCACTGGAGAACCCTACATTCACATGAGACGACAAACTACAGGAATGACTATTTGACATAATTTACAGCTGTTAGTTGAGCTCACATTCTGATGATAAATGCTTAAAGACAACGATCAATCAACATGAGGATGGAGTCTGCCACTGTGGGCCACAAGCTGTGCTGTTTAGAGTAGATCACATTTCTCACAGGTTCCTGTTGAACCTGAGGAAGGGCAACAACGCAAGAATCAATGCCAAAAACACTTCTCTTAAAGAGTATTTTTTGTGTTGTCGAGTAAAAACATCTAAAATGTCTTTCAAAAAGATAAAATTTACTTATTAAGAAGCAAATCTGTGCAAGATATTAACATGTTTTCTTATATTAAGAAAATTTCTCTTGAGGTATGCTACCGTTCAAAAGTTTGGGGTCAACAAGAATTTTAAATAGTTTTATTCAGCAAGGCCACATTCAATAGATCACAAAAGTGACAGTAAAGACATTTATAATGTTAGAAAAGATTTATATTTCAAATAAACGGTATTCTTTTGAACTTTTGTATTTATAAAATAATCTAGAAAAAAAACACAAATTAGTTTAAAAAAATAAAAATAAATAATAACTTTGATAATAAGAAGAAATAGTTTTTGAGCACCAAATCAGCATTTTAGAATGATTTCTGAAGGATCATGTGACACTGAAAACTGGACTAATGACTGGAGTAATGCCAAAGTTTGAAATGGCAGCATACATTTATTTTTAACCATTTTTATTAAGTTGTTTTTCTTGCTTTAAGTATGTAAGTAACTTCAGTGCATTTACGATAAAACACATGAAACAAGCTACTTGCCAATTGGGTAAGAAACAAAAGAAACCCTCTGAAATCAAGTCTTTATGTCTCAAGCAATTTTTCTCCTTTTTTTCTTTTTTTACTGGAAAATAAAAAATATTTTTTGAAGTGATGTTATATATGGTGCTCCAAGTCATGTGTGAGAACAGCAGAGTTCTAAAGAAACGTGAAATTGAAATATATTGCACTTGGCTTCACTGCAGTGGATTATTTCAGATCTACCATTTAGTTGTACGTCTCTATGGAGATAGAAATGAACTAGTTCATATTTGTAATGGCACCAAGGAAGCAGACAGAGCTTCTTTTGTTACTTATTCGTCATCTGTGCGCTCAGGGGGAAAAAAGAGAGAGAGAGTAATCAAACAATGGAAATTACTGGGGCTCGGTTCAAGATGTGTGTGCACACACAAATTCCCGTCTTGTCACAATAACAGCACACTTTTTTTAAGACAGAGACAACATCTGTCAGCAAATAGACTTGTGGTTGTGTCCATGGACAGATCTCCACATCAAACAATCAGCTAATAAGGCTCCAAATAATAAGTTATCATACAGACCAGCAGCCTCCCAGCAGAGGGTAAACAAGTCAATTGTGGCCAAGCAGACCTCTCGGCGCACACCACATCCCAACTGTTGGAGCTGTTGTGCCAGCGCTTCTAAAATAATGGCAGCCCGTCTGTGTGCTAAATGTCAGTACGGGGGAGGTGGAAATGCAATAAAGCTCGTAAAAAATGGTTTTGTTAAACAATAACAAAAAATGGACAAATATCATCTGATTGGAAGCTGCATTCAGAAAGCACAGTAGCTTTGTCTCAATGACAACATGAAATCAAAATCAACCCTATATGCTTTATTAATAAATGTCCCTGTTCCTACTGCACATGATTTATAACATTATTTAAAAATAAAAATAAATAAATAAAAATACACTACTGTTCAAAGGTTTAGGGTCATTTTTTATTGCTTTTGAAAGAAATCTCTTATGCTCACCAAGACTGCGTGTATTTAAAACATATTGTGAAATATAATTACAATTATAATAAGTTCAACTGTTTAAAATAACTGCTATTATAAAATGTAGTTTATTCCTGTGATGGTGAAGCTGAATTTTCAGCAGCCATTACTCCAGTCTTCAGTGTTACATGATGACATTCTGATTTGGTGCTCAAGAAACATTTCTTATTATCATCAATGTTGAAATCTGTTGTGCTGCTTAATATTTTTGTGGAAACCATGTTCCATTTTTTCAGGATTCTTTGATGAAGGGAAAGTTAAAAAACAGCATTTATTTGAAATATAAATCTTCTTTTGTAACGATGTAAAAGTCTATACTGTCACTTCTGATCAATTTAATGCGTACTTGCTGAACAGAAGACTTACAAAAAAAAAAAAATCTTAATGTACTGACCCCAAACATTTCAAGTAGTGTATTTAAAAAAAAAAAAATGTTTTAATCAAAATTTAACTTTTTTTTTAGCCTCTGAAACTATTTTATTTTTATAAATCAATCCAAACCCAGATGAATACATCAACTCTCACCCTACATCCTTTCCTGCTGAACATTCACATTACAAAAGCTAAATGCTGTTTCATAAAAAAAAGCCATTTGTGTGTTGATTTGATCATTCAGACCAGTCGGACAAAGCAACACTGGTTCAACCAATGCCATGAGTTTTGAGGCAGGACTATCCATTTTTTTTAACATTTATGGCAGACTATGGAAATGTTTGGTAAGCAAACAAAGAAATGCAGCACTTTGTCAAATTCAGTCTGTATAATTAAACAGGCTTATTAAAGGGATAGTTCAAAAATGAAAATTCTGTCATCATTTACTGTACATCATCCAAACCTGTATTCATGTTTTTCTTCTGTGGAACACACGAGAAGATTGAAGAATGTGAGTTACCAAACAGGTGATGGGAGCCATTAATTTCCATAGTATTTTTTTTTCTATAATATGAAAGTCAGTGGCTACTATCAACTGTTTGGTTGCCTATACATTCTTCAAAATATTTTATTTTGTGCTCAGCAGAAGAAAGAAATTCATACAAGTTTAGGATGACATGAGGGTGAATAAATTATGACAGTTTTCAATTTTGGGTGAACTATCCTTTTAACCATTGCTTTATGTGTTCAGGAGGGTTAAATGTATCTCCTACCAAGTAAAGTGATGATGCAAGCCAGGATGGCAACGAGAGCTCCAGTGCTGAGTCCAGCTGACAGCATGAAGGCCTCTGTGCCACATGACTGGGGTGTCCCATCAGGGTCACAGTCACACACTCGAATAGACAGTGTGTTAGTGCTGCTGAGAGCAGGGGTCCCGCTGTCCACTATCAACACCGGCAGTCGATACATAGCCTGGTCCCTCCTCTGAAAACCACCCCTCTTAGTTAGAATAGAAGCGGTATTGTCTGCAGAGAGAAAGAGATAGATATATCATGTGAAAAGTGAAAAAAATGACTCATATGAATAGATAAAATGAAGTCTTTTTGGTCTTATTAGGAATAAGACGAGTTCTGAGTATTCGCTATAAACTGTCTTAATGAAATCCCATACCTTTATTGTCTCGGAGGGTGAAGTTCATGTTCCCAGCTGTCTCTACAGTGAGGGAGAAGACGAAGCGATGCCCGCTGGGTGGTTCATCTTTATCCACTGCACTTATGGTTTCAATGACCTAAGACAGTGTCGAAGAGGGAGTACAGAACAGGAAGATGAATACTGCTGTTATTGCCTCACTCCAAACAAAATAACTGCAGTGTTGCTATAATAATGAATGTTTGAGATTATAGGTAAACCTGAATATTTCATGAATGGAATTCATTACTTGATATGTTTATTAATTAGTACAAATTAATTGAAATGAGTAGCATATATCAATATTTGCTCAGAATATCACCAAAAGGAATATTATTTAAGACATTACATTATTGTGGCAGGTTGAAGCACTGAACAAGTCAATTAATTATGATAATTAATATATTAAGTCAATATATTTTATTTCCATATAATTTAACATACCCTGTACAAATATATTCACAGATTCTTCAAGCAGCTATTGTATCTACCTGACCTGAACATTACTGCTTTTGTTCATATAATCTAAGTGAATCAGTCAAATGAACTAATATATTTACTTGAATGTAATTATTTAGATGCTACAGAATAGTTCTAGATTATTTGCAAAAACATTTTTAACGTCCACAACAACACGTTTTGCAATTGTTTTATTATTATTATTGGTCTATGTACACATACATCAGACAGACATCTTTGGCAGTGTTGTGTCTCACTGGCTTTTCAGCATCTTCCACAATGGAAGTCTTATTTTAAGACTGTGAGACAATTAAAAAAAAAAAAAAAAAAAAAAAAAAAAAAAAAAAATTAATTCAACCTCAAGATCCCTGCAATTTTGAACACATTTTAAACATAATAATTAACTAATTTAACATGTTGAATTGATGCCCACATTTTATGCTACAACACAGAAACATTTCAACCATCAGCCGAATTCAAGGAGGTGAACTTGGGAGGGGGAAAAACAATTCACAAGTTTAAATCATGCTGAAAACAACATCAGGAGGATAGTCTAAGCCAGTAAGCTATCTGAGTGAGACTACGCTCATATGGTATCTAAGGATTTAGCAAAGTATAGGGCCATCCCGGTCTAAATCTGGACTGAAACCCCTAAAGCTGGGCAAAGTGTTGCATTTTAGTGATGAATATCAGGGTGACCCATCAGGTGGTACGCTAAGAAGATTCTCCTGACACACTGTTGTGGCCTAATCTGTGGGCTTTGGCTGGGTTAAATACTCTGTGCACAGCTCTTCCCTTGTGTCAGGCTGCAGTTAGCACAAACTCAATCTGCTTGAAAAATCTCCTAAAACCTTACGCACAGGATGAATGCAGCGGAGCCATGGCTAGCGGACACTCCTGTATCATTTCCTCATTCGTCTGAAGAATATGACCTTGTACTAACCAAGAGCTTTTCAGCGCTTTAATTCTCCACTCAGTTATTTTTATTAAACACCGCCCTCCATTTACACTAAGTGAGTATTTGGCAATGGGAACTCTGACAGATTTATCATTTATCTGTAAATATTTTTGAAATCGTAAAACGTTGCGCTATTAAAAACCTGCATAAACGACACAAGCAGAGATTACAGTAAACTGTGACAAAATTAATTACAGATAGTCCATTAAGGCGAATGCAAAGTGTATTGATAAAATCACTGAGGCAATGGGTTCATTTAAAATGAATAAGAACATCTTGTCAAGGCAGAGCGTCTTAAACAAAACCTGATTTCGCTTTCACCAACCGAGGAGAGGTGGAAAAGTAAATAATTTTTAGAATAATACTGTAAAAACACAAAATGGCTCTTGTGTAGCCAATAAGTGCATTATATGGAAAGATATGAGGGATTTAAGCCTTTTTGCTGTACATGTAAAAATGGCTGGAGGGCAAGGAATCTCTCCTGTGCCACCTGATTTTACAGAGGGGAAAATCTTCACCGTGGTGAGTCTGCCAGTGGAGAGTTAGCAGTCACGAGTGCTTTAAAACACCAGTCTCTCAGCCTGCCACTGCTGACCATGTCTCTGAGGCATAAAGAAACAAGACAGAATATAGACGACCTTAAAGAGATTAAAAAAAAACCTGGGAAAACACTCACTCCTCATAATCTAATCTGTTAAATCAGCTGTAACAAATCACCTGGCTCATTTACAGACCCCAGCTTCAATTCATATTAAGGTTCTATTAAATTCAAAAAGTCATATTAGGAACAAAAGAGAAACCAAGGGCACAGAGAAAAGAGCTTTGTGCTGGGAAACGAAGGTGAAGACATACGTTTGGTGCCTGTGACCCCATTACAGGCACTTGTTGGATGGGGATCTGGGGACCTTTTTCAACAAGCCATCTGTTTTAGACTCGCATGCAATGATGGGGAATATTCCCTCTCGTATCATGTACATAAGGGATGGGTGGTTATGATTGCCTAGTCATCCAACAACTGACTTAATCTAGATATTTTTAGAGTTTTCAGAGTTTTAGAGACCATTCTTTAAATGTTTAGGAATTGTCAACAATAGCGAAGATGACATTGCACTAATTAAACAATACTTCTAATGAAAATAAGATATTAACAATGCACTAACAATGTTTTCAAATAGAAATAATTTGGTTAACACAATTTAACACAGTCATACAGTAAGTAATCCAACCAAACTTTCCATTTTAAAAAGAAAATGCCAGAGCATTTTCCACCAATTAAAAATAGTGCAACTTTTAAAAACACATATTGAGACTGCATTCTGATTTGTTACATTGCGCTAATTGCTTTTCAATTTTGAAACTTTTGAGTTTTTGCTCTCTTTATGGCAAGTGAATATATAGGAAAAAGTGAAAATTTTAATTTGCACTCAAAACCTGGTTTCATTTGCTCTCAAAAACCAGGCAACATGTTTACCATGAAACTATTCATTCTTACTCCATACAGTCTCTTTCAGAGTGTCTGGCTTCTTGATGGAGCAGGTGTGAAGCTCTATATATACAAATGTGCAGATGAGGTCTATGAAAACAACGAAGTGGAGATACACTTGCAGATAACAATGTAACAGCAGGCTGAAAGTGCCTATTTCACCTCAGTCGCAAATAGACAAACAGCATTTGCGACTATTTTGCGAGGCACTGATGTGACAAAGAATGTAAAAGTGCCATCACTGTTTGTTGATGATATTGTGCCTCACGGCAAACACTCTGTCTGATCAAAATTCTTCATCTAACAGCTCCAGAACGCCTCACTCAAAGGCTCTGACTTTCAGATTCGGTCTCCAAAAGCACTCCAGGATGTCTGAGAGCCTCTGTTCTACAGGTACAACAGTTTAAGGGCCGTTATAAGGACAGAGTCATCGTGCTAAGAATCACAAGAGAGATCTGCGCTATCGAGACAGCATTTGACTATCAGTGCAGCATCGCTCAAGTACTCCCATGGCTGAAGATATGGAAGTGAACATGAATCACAGGGGAAAATATATCATTATGAAAACATATAGGCGCATTCATTTCTATTCAGAGAAAGAGAGACCATTCTACTGTTCCTCTGAGAGGCAGGAAAGTAATTTAGCCTCTAATATGAGAGAGAGCTCTGAAAGTTAGAAGTGATGGAAGTCTGGGGTGTCCAAAACACACAGAGAGTGTTCTTGGGGGACTATGGTAATGCGTTTCAAGGCTGAGATAGCATTTGTCAAAAGAGCCCACCAGCATCTTTTCACTTAGGCAATACAAACACAGTTCCCTGTGAGTCTGGGACACAGGCAGGCCAGGACTAATTGTTATGGCCCAGACAATCATGCCACTACAGGGGATTGTATCTCATGCTCAGTAAACCCTGTAGCCTTGTTCTGTCCTCTCTTTGTTTTGAGAGATCTTGTGGGAGGGATTATTTTTCTTAAGAAAAAGAAAAACATCCTTCAGTATTCATTCACTTCTCCCAAAAGAAATGATCAGATCAAGTCAATTTCTGATACACTAATAAAACATTGTAATTGAGTGAGTAAGATTTTCAAACACCTCTGCAAATTGACTATTAATTCTCCTCTAAATAAACATCGTCTGTCAATGAAACAATTACAGTTACTAAGTAGGGTTTATATGGAAGCTTGTTTCTTGTTTCTGACGATTTATAAAAAATAATAAATAAATAAAATAATAATAATAATAATAATAATAACAATAATAAAAGAATGTGATTTCTGTCCTCTCTTTGTTTTGAGAGATCTTGTGGGAGGGATTATTTTTCTTAAGAAAAAGAAAAACATCCTTCAGTATTCTTTCACTTCTCCCAAAAGAAATGATCAGATCAAGTCAATTTCTGATACACTAATAAAAACATTGTAATTGAGTGAGTAAGATTTTCAAACACCTCTGCAAATTGACTATTAATTCTCCTCTAAATAAACATCGTCTGTCAATGAAACAATTACAGTTACTAAGTAGGGTTTATATGGAAGCTTGTTTCTTGTTTCTGACGATTTATAAAAAATAATAAATAAATAAAATAATAATAATAATAATAATAATAACAATAATAAAAGAATGTGATTGTGAGATACAGCTTAAAAGAAGAAACTCACATTGTGATATATAGTCACAAATACAAGAAATAATCACAATTATAAGTTAAATTGGCATAAACCTGCAGTCATGAGTTGCATTTACAAGAAAAAGACACAACCAATTAGACACAAAGTCACAAATTCGGAAAAATACATTTGAAATTGTGAAATATAAAGTCACAATTGTGAGATAAAGTCACAATTATGAGAAATAATCACAGCTGTGAGATAAGAAGTTGCAAGAAATTAAGTAGAAATATATAGAAATAGCTGCAACTGATGTGATCATAATTGTGAGAAAGTCTGAATTACGAGAAATAGTCACAACTGTGAAATATTATGATGCAATTGTGAGATAAAGTCGATATTATGAGAAATAGCCGCAGCTGACACAAAGTCTAGATTGTGAGATAAAGTCAGAATTATGAGAAATCTGTGAGACATGAAGTCACAAATTAAGATAAATAAATGCAATTGTGAAATATGAAGTCACAACTGTGATATAAAGTTGCAATTACAAGAAAATAAAATCAGAATTAGAAAATAAATGCAGTATTAGAATATAAACATGAACTTCTTTCTGTGTAGCTTTTATAGAGTTACAGTAGTAATGCAGTAGATGCTCTGAGAAGGAAAGGCACTTATAGTTGAGTAGAATCAGTCATGTTTTCACCACTGGTTTTAGTCCTCTGACATTACCCACTGCTTTCAAGATTAATGGAGCATCATGTCACAAAATTTGTCAATGGCTTTTATCATTCCCATTAGGACTGAACAAAGGTCCAGAATGTTTCCTCTATGCACTCATAGCGAGTGTTTAGTATGTAGCATTCGTAATGCCCTTTATACCACATTCATCTTAGTAATGACGTTCTGACAAACATTGGAATATGAATGCGACAGAGAATGTGTTTGAATCAGGGCATGTTGCTGGCTCGAAAATGAGGAACCCATTGGTTTGCTTGTGTGTGTGTTCTGCAATTGCCTGCTGAAGGACTTCACATTTGGCTACTTGACACAATGCCACACTCCCCAACAAACCAATTTCATGCCACAGTCACCTCTGTCTCATTTGCATCAGTGTAAAGCTTTTTCCGCATGAGCGCACAATGTTTTGATCCCGTGATTAGAGTGATCTGCAGCAGAAAGCCACCAGAATCCTGTTGTTATCATTTTGCCCATCTGTGGCTCTCGCTGCTCTTTACTGACTATGGATCAGTACTAAGGTCCATATTCTTTCAGGTTGAGTTTCTGATGAAGGATATCAAAATATATACATATAAACTAATGAAAAAATAAAAGAAGCATTATTATAACCTTGGTTTAAACCATTTTAATAATCTGCACACTGCAATACATAATCTGAAAATGAGATCTCTTTTCATTTTGCTTCCAACAGTAATGCTGCACAATTAGTTTCATACAATATCAGAAAAGTTGTGACATAAATAATCATTTCTGTTTATTGGACTATACAGGTTTCAAATCGCATTTGATATGAAAGCCTTTCTGTTGAAGAATCAAGAGCCACAATACCTGTCCTGGCCCAGCACTTTCACACAGGATGGTCTCATACTCTATGGCAAAAACTGGTGCGTTGTCATTAATGTCCATCACCGTGATCAGAGCCACTCCTTTCCCAACCTGTGACGGATCCACTGAAATCACAGAGAAAAATATGCATGCATGAACAGGCTAACAGATGAAAAAACATGAGGACACCAGCACATTTATTCCAATATGTTTAATTTATTTAAATGTGTTACATTATATGTGCCTTGCCATCTTCCTGGCCACCATTGGTTTTTCTCACTGAGGGCACTAAATCATCATTTTCTGTAATTCTGAAGTGAAATTATTTGTATTATGAAAAGATTTTACTTCACCAGAAAAAAAGTCTGTAAAAATCTGTATAATTTGAATATATTATAAAAATAATAAAATTAAAAAATGTAAAAATAAATAAAAAATTAATAGTATGAAATTAAGTAGTACAGTAAAGTACATTCATTATGAATCTATTAGGGATGCAACATATAAATATAAACAATAATAATACAATATAAACCTATTTTTTCGGTTCTGATGGCTTGGCACATCAAAATGTCTTTTGTCATTTAAAATGTGATTTTTAAAACAAATTAACAAAAATAAAAGAAGAAATAGAACTCATAATACGGACAAAGGCATACAGCCATCGCTGTAGCTGAATAAAAAGATGATGAATGATGAAACATGAAGTCAAGAAAGACTCAACAGCAAAAACATGTACTGTTTTGTTGGACAGCAGGTTTAGAAACACTTCTCATTACAATTTATTACAAGGGAAGATGTTTGGCGTGTTTCTTTTTCAGTGGGGAGGAGTTTCCTCATCTCAGAACGTAAACTCACGGGCACACACAACAGAGCCAATTCGGAGAGAAATAAAATGCACGGAAATTATTGAAATGCAAAACCAGAAAAACGCAATTCACAAGGGCGTACTGAACCGTGGATGTTGTACCGAACGGCCAGTGTTGGGAAGGTTACTTTGGAAATGTAACCTAATAGGTTACAGATTACAAGTTACTATATTTAAAATGTAATAGTAGTGTAACTTTTTCCAATTACTTTATTAAAGTAATGTAACTGATTACTTTTTGATTACTTTTCTAAATTTCTAATGAATGTTTTCAACTGTTAATCATTTTCAAACATTTACACCATGCAGGGTTAAAATCCTCCACAAAATCAGACATTAGTACTGCCTTTTATTTTGAGATTGATCTGAAGTTCAATGCAGATTTAAAATCATAAGAAATAGTTTACTGATACTGTTTTGGAAACCAAATCTTTGCATAACTACAGGAAACACTGCAGCTAACAATGCTTTGGATTTCTTTTCTTTTTTTTTAAGTACAGTAGGCCTAACCATGTTTTTTTTGGAAAATGGATTACCATCTGTCTTTATTTTTACTACAAATTCCATGGTTAAACTATGGTTAGTGTAGCCAAAACCATGGTTAATAATTTGGTTACCATGGTTAGGTAAAATCATTGTTAATTTCCCTAAGGATTGTGTTGTTGTCTGCCCTATCTCCCCCTAAAGCTATTGTAAACGATATGATTATTTGTCTGCTAAACTACTACTGTAACTTTACAGTAGATAATGATGTCCTTTAGTACACAGTATTTTGAGTGATGATTGATGAGCAATGGGCTGCTACTGCTTAACTAAGTAAACAAAGACAAAACTACAGTAGCATATTTACACATGAAACTGACCTGCACTTGAAATCCTGAACAGTAATTTTGCTTCTCTGCTCCACCTGTGCGCTTATACAGTCCACTCAAATCTCTTGCATTGATTAATTTACTCTGATCTAAACCATTTGGCGGAGGCGCGGAGGGGGCGCGAGCTGAAGTGCATTCCCAATCACGACTAACCGATTCATGATTTATTAGAGATGTATTATCGAATGTCGAATTCGGAAACATTCGGCAGGCAACTATATAATAACAATAATATTAAAAAAGTGGGCAAAATCAGCTGCCAAGCCACCCGGATCTCCCGATGACCAGTCCGCGCCTGATTTCCACAGAGAAACGCAGAACATGCAGGATTCATATTGTCCTTTTGCTGCTGAATATTTACAGACCCTAGTCCATATCGCATTTTGATTCAAGTGTACTGACCAACTTTTGATTTATTCATCCAAATGTTGCATATTC